TTTATATTATTACTACAGTTATAATTGAACAAATGAACCCTAGATAGTTCTCTTGATATACTTCTCTCCTTATCTTGCAATTCGAATAATTGATTTTGGTGTTAGAGCAGATATTTATTTAACCATAAGACTTACAATAATGGGGTATACTTGAAATTAAAAGCTGTTAAGTGCTGTTGTTACAAATTTCTCATTTCAAATATAGTTTTGCATGAAAATAAAAATAAATGTCAGCCCAAAGTTTCGCTTAATGTTAGCAAGAATTTTGTGCCAAAAATTCAATATTTATGCATGTCTAAATGTTTCTCATTTAAACGTCGATGTCCGTTAGTGTTTCATAAAGGGAAACCTTTGAGCCAATAATGTTAATGACTGTCACAGATAACACACACACACACACACACACGCACACACTTTTAAACGAATTCACTCAATTTGATCTCACATTGGTCCACTCGAACTTCACAATTCACAATTTCTTTCACTATGCACACGCAAAAAAAAAAAAAAATAAAATAAAATAAAAATGATGATAAATTTAACAGAAAAAAACTTTAATAACAAACATAAGACACGTTGCAATCTCTTTCATTGGAATCTCGCTCATCACACTCATTAAGTTGTTGCCGTCTTTTGTCTTTTGTCTTCTCCCCTGTTGCGCGCTCAATTTTCCATTTCAAATACTTTTGACTCAAATGAAAATAAAAATGTGCATAAAAAAATGAATTAAATCAAAAAATCAAAAAACAAAAATATCGATGTGCAGATCCAGTGCAGGGCAGCCAATACATCGTCAGCAAATTATTTATCACCAACAATATAAGTTTAAACAACCCCAACATTATGATGATTGTCGCGATTATCGTAGACTGCTGATCCAACTGGAGGAAACTGAGCGTCGCTTCGACGAGTTCTGGCGCACCCATCGTAACCGGCTGGAGCAATGCCTGCTGCTGCGCATGTTCGAGCAGGACTTCCGAGAGCTGCAGGTGAGTTGGGCTAAGGGCAAAGAAAGCCTCTCTAATGCATTCTCTTAACTAATTCCCGATCCTCCATGGCAGAGCATCTTTGATGGCCACCTCAAGACTGTGGCGGACATGACGGAGATTGGCGAGAGCGTGGAGCGCGTTGCAACGCTCGTGCAGGAGACGGAAGACTTCTGCAAACTAATCAAGGCGGATGTCGAGCGGGCCGAGGAGGCGATACAAGCGGGACAACAGCTGATTGGCTCACGCGGCGTCTACCCCTGGGAGATTGTCCAGCCCAAGTGCGATGAGCTGCAGCGCGTCTGCGACATCATCAACATGCGGCTGACCAAACGGCTTGAGATTCTGGCCAAGAACAGCGAACTAATGGAGAGAGTTGAAAAGGTGAGCAGACTGAGTTTATTACACTATGTGCATATTTAATAATCTCTCTCTCTCGCTCTCTCGCGCTCTCTTACAGGCTAATCAATGGTGTGCCAATGGCGTGGAGCTCCTGGCCTCGCAGCGCATCGAGAAGTGCTCCGTGTCGGCCGATCTAGCCGAGCAGAGCCTGCACGAAATACAGGCCTTCATAGCATCCGCTTCAGATTTCAAATTATCTAGTCCAAGTGAATTCAAGAAAATCTTTCTGGATAGCACGACACCGGAGACCAAAGCACTCGTATCTCAGGTGAGAATTATAATTGCTTTTAAATTATGTGACAAAATATAGATAAGATAGGTTTATTAGATATGAATATTAGTCAAATGAAATATTTAAAAATATTAATTAATTTTGTAAAAATTATTTAACATAAACTATGTATTTTAAATAATAATATGTATATACTATTATTTATTT